CGATGGAGCTGAGTTCGTTCTTAGCCTGGCCGTCGAGCAGCGGCAAGCCTCGGGAGACGGGGGGGCGGCGGCGGCGGGGGGGCCGGCAGATGGACGGAGACCGAGGAGCTGCATCTTCGTGGTCGAGGGCAGCGCGGACAACGTCTCGTCGGCGAAGGGCATCACGATGGGCGACGTCCACGGCGCGGTCCGCCCCAAGACGGGACCCGCAGACGGAGAAGAAACGGCGACGGCGACGGCGACGGCGACGGCGACGCCGCCAGCGGCGGTCGAGAACCTTTACACCGACATGGCGTTCGAGGAGGTCGTTTCCTTGCAGCTCACCGGCGGAGACCCGGTGCCGTCGTTGGTGGACGCGAAGGACGACGGGGAGCGCAGGCTCCGCGCGACCTCCTCCGGGGTAACCATCCTTAACCATCCTGCCGCGTCATCCGCGCCAGAGGCGTCGAACAAGCGGGCGAAGTCCGGCGTTTGGCCGATGGGCGGGGAGGCGGGTGCTTGGACGGCGGCGGCGGACAGCTCCTCCACACCGGGACTGCAGCAGCAGCAGCAGCAAGCCGGCAGCACGACGACGCCGGTCGAAGCCCTGTCGTCCATGTCGATCGACGCCGGGGTTGGAGCTCCGGCCGCTGAGAGCGTCGTCGCCGCCGCGGCGCCTGCCGCCGCAGACGGCGCGGCGGGAGCGGCGGCGGCGGAGGCGGCGGGAGCGGCGACCACGGTGCCGGTGCCGGTGCCGGCAGAGGCGCCGGCGTTGACCAACGACGAGTGGGTGGCGCGGATATCCCCGCTTGTCCCGTCCATCCCGGAGGGCACCCACCCGGAAGACTTCCTGCACGACCTTCTCAGGGAACGGGGCTACACGACCGAGATGGTGGCGATGAAGGAGACGGTGTACCACCGGCCGCCGGAGCCCGACCAGGTGGCGGCGTACGACAAGGCCATTCTCCGCGCCGTGCTCGACGAGGACGAGGCGGCGCTGGAGCGGATGCGGGCGGCCGGGCGGCGGATGGACGCGTGCAACCGCTTCGGGGACAGCATCCTGCACATGGCGTGCCGCCGGGGCCGCGCCGCGGCCCTCCGCTTCCTGCTCCGCGCGGCCGGCTCCGCCGGCGTGGTGTCCAGCGACGACTTCGGGAGGACCGTGATGCACGACGCCTGCTGGACGTCCTCGCCGCGGTTCGACGTGGCCTCGGCCGTTCTCGACGCCGACACGAGGCTGCTGCGCACGCTGGACAGCCGCGGGTCCTCCCCCCTGCAGTACGTGCCGGAGGACCAGTGGCCCCTGTGGTGCGCCTTCTTCGAGAGCCGCAAGGAAGTCTACTGGCCAAAGCTCCCGCCCGGCGCGGAGGACGTGGCGGGGATCATCCCCGTCACGGAAGAAGTGTCGTAGCCGTGATTTTTTTGGGGCGTGTTTTGCCGGCGGGGGGGGGAGGGGAGCGGGGTTGTCTCGCTCTCGTCTCCCTCCTCGCGGAGGTTTTGGTTGGATGGTGGTGGGGTTTGGGACTAACGGTTCGGGCCTTGATGCCTTGAAAAGCATGTAGAGTGGTGTGGTGTGTGTTCGTCTTCTTTTCTTTTTTTTTTGAAGCAACCAGGGAGAGGCGGCCGGTCCTTTTGCTGGTCCTGTTTTCAACAGATGGCACGGGTGGCCGCTACGGCCGGCACAGGGGCTTCACACTACGGTTTTCCGGTTCTATTTTTCCTCTCTCTCCAGTTTTGAGTATTGGTGGTGGCGTATCGGCTTGGGAGCTTATAGCGCATGCACTGGTCGAATCTTCCCGGGTGGGGGTGGGGGTGGGGGTGGATCGGTCCACGCGACACGTATTTTTCTTGATTGCAGACTCGATTGAAGCCCACGACGCGCTCGGACTTGGGAGACACAAGCCGCCCTTGTTGTCTTGCCCTTTCTAGTCAGGGCAGTCACTCACTTTCCCCAGAGGCGCCGCGGAGCGGAGAGGGTTTGTCAATACAGAACCGCGGCGCTTCAGGGGGGACACGGTGATGGGGAGGTTGATGGGCACGTTTGTACATTCCGAGGTTGCACAGAGTGAAAGTATGGCGGTTGCGCGAGCGTGCCAAGAGGAGGGGGGAGGGGAGGTCATGAGAGGAAAGACGTGTTCCCAGGGGGGGGAGGGGCAGTCGTGAGAGAGAGAGAGAGGATGTGACTGCGGTGTGTTGTTCGAAGGAGCGAGTAAAAAAGGAGAAGCAGGGGGTTGGTTGCGTTCTCGAAGGCACGGCGTCTGTGGGAGGGACGTTTGAGGTGCCTCTCCCTGCGGTGGCGTGTCGAACGACGACGGATGGTGATGGTGTGCCGGTGAGAATGCTAAATAGGGCGGCGTCCTGGCCTCTCTCGGACTGTGTTCCCGGTTTTGTTGTCAATTTTGTGTGGAGAAGAAGAGGCCCTGGTCGGTACTTCGGACCTTCAACTGCGCGCGCAGGACAGGTTTCAATTTTGTGGAGGGGCGGGAAGAAAGAGGCTCTGGTTGTGTTGGTGGTTGGACCTTCAATTGCCCGCCGTGGTGTGGTGCTGGTGCCATACTTTTGGGGGGAGGCGGCTAGAAAAACCAGCTAGCTACGTAGCGATAGTTACGCTTGCTGTTACAATATGTCTAGTTTAGAGAGTTCGCTCGATAGTTCTAGACTGCACGGTTCGAAACAAACTTACGTTTGAAGGTTAGCACACGTGAAGCGTTTTTATTTACTCGGCAGCGGAAGGCGATTCGTCTCAATAGCTGATAAAACAGAAAAAATGGATCCACTATCGAATGAGGTGTGGCATGCAAGGTTGGGGGGGGGGAGGAGGGGTTCGGGAGAATTCATTTCCTCACGCCCGCAAATTTAAACTCGTTATTTAGTTTTGTTAATTTTCTAGCCATCATTCTTGTACATTGTAATGGAGGAGCGTGGGTCGTTTGTTGTCATGTTTGGTGTGAAAGCAAACATACCGGGCAGGCAAGGTACTGCTGTAGTGTGGTCATGGCCCACCCACGATCGAGAGACAATCAAACGAAAACACTGAAAAAAGAAACAATAGGCACGACCGTGCCCGTGTTCCTGATTCTCGGCGACCTGTCCGGTTTCGGCGGAGCAAGCAACCAAGACTTTTGCTCTCTATACGGGCCAAGGGGCGAGGGGCCATACCACGCCCCCAAAATCAGCGAGAGAAAGACGCCGACGCAAAAAAAAAAAAAGAGAAACCAAACCAGGAAAAACATTAAATTAAACATTGGCATGCAAGCTCGTTTTCTTCCGTGCCGGCCGATGCCGACATGTTAACGTTGGTGAGGGCAGCACGCTTCGATACTGTAATGGACGAAACAACCAGCAACACCACTTCTTGAGCGCCGCAGCAGAGCACCAGTTTTGAGCATGGCGTAGACACCGAGGGGCTAAATAAGAAGAGTCGTCTCTTCGCAAAAATTCGCTACTGTAACCACCGCACTACAGTAGGTGCTTGCTCTCGCCTGCCCGTTCACCATTGCTCTTCGATACCTTTCTTTCGCACAAAGTCACTCACAGTTCGGAGGCTTTTTCGTACGTGTACCTTCGTTTCTCAATGCAGACAGCTTCTATTACAGCTTCGGTTGGACTTTTTTTTCGTCTTACTCTCGACGCATAAATCTGGCTCAGATATTCGTCTGCAAGCAACACTTTGCTCATGAGGTACATTTACATTTTCCGCAGCTCCTCGGCCCCTCCTCAACAACAAAGACCATTGGCTAAAACACCACTAAACCGTGTCAGGATTTTCAGGTCGGCGAGGCGCGGTGTGAGGAAAACCCCCCCCTCCCCCCCACGCCGAAGACCACAGGGCACACGCTCCGCTTTAGAGCCCGGAATGCTGTGTTAAACTCGCCGAGCACACACAAAAAAACAGTACATAGCCGTATCTCCAAACGCAAACTGTCCCATTTTCCTTGCCCAAAAGGCTGGTTCCTATTTCTTCGCCCCCAGTGGCTCGCCCCACGAGCACGAGCGGTGTTTTTTCGTGTGTGCCCCGTATTAGCAAACACGCTGGCCTACCTGCTCTGTCCCTCCCCCCCCCGTACCCCAAGCAACTAGCCGAAGAGCACGTCTCCCTACATACCCCACCGCCGCCGCCCGGAGCGACACGCGTCAGTCACACCCCCACCCCCACCCCCCCGGTGTTTTGCCATCGGGGTTGGGTTTTCGTCGCTTGGCAATGACGTTGTAAAACAAGCCGCCCCCCCCACGGTGTTTTGCCATCGGGATTGGGTTTTCGTCGCTTGGCAACGACGTTGTAAAACAAGCCAAGTCACTTCGTGAACTCGGCAACCAGGTTACCGTTTTTTGTTTACCTCTGTTTTTTTTTTTGCGGTAACCATGAATGGTGGTCGAGTAGATCATGTTGTGCGGGGTCGAGAAGCCTCACTCCGCGCAAGTGGGGATGATCGCACCACGTTGTGTTAAAATGGTCAAGCACCCTTCGAGGCAGTTACACAGTGCTTACAACTGTCTCTGGAAGTGAAAGCACCAGAAAATAAATTAAGTCATACGCAGCTGTCATTCGTATGCAAGAAAGTAAGCACAAGATGCCGAACACCCTTAGCAGGATGCAGCTCACCCTTCATGCGACTCGCCGAATACCTCACGGCGCTTCGCACTTGGTGATGTGAGAGCCTGGTCCGGTGAGAAGCCGGCGTGCTCCGTCCCGGCTTTGTAGGGATGCGAGGTCAATGGTCTAACGACTACGGCATGCACGACTATGAGATGAGTACACCCCCCCCCCCCTCCTCCTTCCACATCTCGGCCGCGTCGCCCCCCTACAAGAGGCAGACGCGCTCCTCCCTCTCGACGTGGCCAAAAAGAAAGTGGCATATCACCACAATGCTATCGTCCAAGCCAAGCCCACCAAAAAAAGAGTAATTCTACCGACGG